TTATTTCCCATATTTTTCATTTTATTGATTTTATGGAAGGAAGAAAAAATGTTGTATCCTATGTTATAGGGCTTGTTTCTCTCTTTTTTTTTTTCTTTTTTCTTTTTTTTCTTTTCATTTGTTATATTCTCTTAGTGTTATTGTTTTCCTTTTAGTTTTTCTACACTTTAGTTTGAATATATCTCTTTAACTATCAGTATACATAATTAATATGTGTATTAACCCCAATTTATTTTACATAATATGTATATCACATTACAATATATTATGTAATATTATATTATATTAAAATAATGGGTATTAACAAGACTTTTGTTCGAGACGTATTTTTTTCTAGACAGATGACATATTAACACCTATTTGAATATACACAGGGTGTCCGAATAAAAACTCCATTAATATACATAAAAACATTTTAAATAATCCTAATTTTTTAAAAATAAATGCATAAACGCATCTTGTGAATATTCAGTATTTTTTTTTATACATGATTAATTTAATATTGCCTATACATTTTAAAACTTAACGGTATGAAAATATTTTAAATCACCTTAATATGAGCTTTTAGTCAAAAATAATAAATCAAATATTTAAGATCCTTATTTATTTATATATTTATTCTTATTAACATCTCAATAGTAATATTCCACTTACTTTCAATTTACGTTAATTTATTTTCTGTTAATTACAAGTTATAGAAGAGAGAGAGAGAAAAAAAATATACAAATTTTGAGATTTTTTTTTCAATAAAATTACTAACAAGATGATCAAAATCAAATTTTGAATGAAGGTGTTAAATTTACTTTGTTATAATATTCTGCTCAAATTAAATGTCTCAAATTCCTAGAATGGAATTTTGTCATTTTCGAATATACTATACAAAGGGCTTTTGTTTCTGGCTTTAAAACAAGTTTGTAACTCATCAGCGGGTCTTGGAACAATTGCGATTAATATTAATGATCTCAGAAAAGCAACGAAATGGAATAGAATGTACAATTTCATCCATATGACTTTGTTTTTCCAGTTTTTTCTTACAGTTTTGTGTTTATTTTATACTCTTTTTTGTTTATTTTCTATTTTCTATGCATAACCTTGTCAAAGTTGTTAAAATATCTATGTTTCTATTCGTATTAGGTATATAAAAAAGATAACAGAACTATCCCTGTGCCTTCTTTGGTGTTGGAAGCATCAGTATACCAAACGGTTACGTCAAATAGTCATTTATGTTAGCTTCAGCACTTTACTCACTATAGAACGTGTCTAGGTTCAAGGCATGGTCTATGATCAAAGATTATACCTGACCTCCAAACTTGCCAGATTTGATTACCATTAAATTTTTTTCAGGAGCCCCGTGTTATGACTGATTTTTTTTTCTCTCTGATTTCCACGTGATGTTACCGAACTTGTAGAGAGTCTGGTCCGCGGTTTTGAGACTGACAAAAAGGTTCTTTTATAAGTCCATGCTGTCGGATCGGTTAGTAATGTCGGTACATACGGTTGGAACAACAATAATAATATCGGATCAAGCAAGCGACGGAGAGGTCGAGACGCAGAAAACAGCTGAAACGGCGTCTATTGCGGGCGCCTATCGCGGGCGTGCATGTGTGTAGACGTTGCGGCGTTGTCAAGTTCACGATTTTTCTTAAAATTTAAAGATTTTTTTTTCGTCAATTTTTTCATTGAACTTCAAAAAAAGTGGACACCCTAGAAAAATGATGGATGTAACTAAACATCTATTTTCATCCAAATATCGACGTTCTGAAATTATTCGAAAAAAAAAAACGAAATAATAATGAAACTTCTCCACCCTGTATTTCCGAAAAGAGGCATTTTAGGACATAAATACAGGGTGTTCCTTAATAGCATGTTAATATTTAAGGAAGCGATTCTTGAACCTATTCTAAGAAAAACCTCATATCCCAAACATCGTAATTTTGCAGATACAGCGTGGTAAAATTTTCTTTTTTTTTCAAGTCAACGCATCAGAGTTTCAGAAACTATGTATACTTGGGACGAAAAAAATCAAGAGATAAAAAATGTTTAGAAATGATTTTTTTGAAAATAACTTTTATTTTAGTGTACCACTTTTTTCTTCAAAAATATTGAAAGTAAAACCTGTATGGACGGCACTGGTTGAAATAAATGAAATTCTTAGTACACCAATAGGTATTTTGATGCATAGAAGACGTATATCAAGTTTCATAAAAGTTCTACAACAAAATCAGGCTTATTATGAAAATATTTTCATGTCATCAAGGAACACCCTGTATATACGAACTTTTTTTACTTAATGTTATCTGCAGAATATCCACGATTTCTCGATGATTTAAATTCTGACCATCCTGTATATTGAAAAATAAAATTTTTCGTCGGACAAAAAATATTATTTCTTTCTTAAAAAGTTTCATTTGCATTAAATTACTTAAAATACTATTTATTTAAAGATTTTCTATGTAGAAAGTGCATTTAATACAAATCTATTAAAAAGTGAGACTTGCAAACAGTGGCGGCTCGTGGTCATTATTGTAGGGAGGTCAATATCTAAAAATATTGCGTCGATTTTTTTTAAGACGCGCCCAAATTTAATTGGTTTCTTACAAGGTACTTGTACGTTTAGTTAAAGGAAAATAAATCTAAAAATAAATATAAATTCTGTTAAAATGAAACCTACCCTTACATTAAACAGGTGGTCTAGTGCCATTTCACTAAAAATCCAGTCAGTGTTCTTTACACAAATTTTACAGGGTAGGATTTAAAATACTGCATAAAGATTTTTTCTTTTTATTATTCCAGAATCAGTCAACCACAGTTCATCATTTATCTATAACCAGAAAATTATGAATTATTAGGTACCTATACAAATTTCGAGCTACACCTCAAACTAGAAGGGATTTCTTTCGATATTTAAATATTGTTTTATATTGACTAAACCAAACATTATACGCGATAAACGATACAAAAAACTAGATTGTTTTATAATTTGAGTTTTTATAGACACCCAAACGGCGAAATTTTTCCAACGACTGAAATCCTTTTATGAATGACGCGGTCAATGGCCAATATAAACTATATCTATCGCACCTTTTAAAGGGCCGGCTACACGCACAGGCTTTAGAATTAGAATTAGAATAAGTGGGAGGGGGGTTAATCTCTGCGACCTTAGAGATCTATTGTGTCCCCCTTTCTTGAGTAATAACTCATCATACAGTCCCAGGACTTCCTACGGAGACCCGTGTCCCTCACAGTCGAGGAGCTACGACCCAGGCCGGGTAGACGAAACGGTAGCTTGTGTCGCCTGTTGGGTTTAGAGGTAGGAGGTAGGCTCCCGACCCTTGGAGGAGGTGGTAGCTTGTATGCCACTTGCGGAGGATGGTCTCACGCAAGTGTCAGCCACCTCTCCTGTAGTTCTCTTTGGGTTTGGCCCCTTGGAACTTTCATTGTTACTGTTCCCAGTGTCGCTAGGGGGTTTCCCCACAGCTTCACCGGTGATGTTTTTATTACTATTATTACCAGATCTCATAGTGTTCCTATGAGTCGCTAGGGACAGTCGGTCCACTTCTACAGAGCCCCGCATGTAGAAGTAAGGGGTAAAATACAATGGGGTGCCCCCCGGTGCCCCAAGGTTGAGGCTGTCCGTAGCCCCGCCCGGTATCGTTATATGTCTTGGTGCAATTCCATGGCCACGACACTACAGTCAGGGACAAGACGATGAAAAGTGCTTCTTAGACCTAGGGGGGATTCCCCCCAGCACCTGACCAGGAGCTTCCCCACCAACGACAAGGTCTTGCATCTCCTAGGGGAAGACGCACAGGCTTTACCGAAGACTTACTTGCGCAAACTGGTTTGTATCGGGAAGCCCGTGTGTGTGGACGGTAAAACGGTAGCACGTACAAACCAACAAGTGCGGCATGCGTAAACGTCGCGCTGCTAAATATTTTAGTATGCGCAAACCAGTTTGTGCGGTGATATCATACGTGTAGATGATATCAGCGAGTTCAAGCTACAGTTTTGTTACTCTTGTGAGTTTTGTGTTATTATTTATCAGCTCTCAGTAAATGTCTGATATGCGTACTTATTTCAATAAGGAGTTTATGAGAAGTTTCGTTGAGATATATCGATCATTGCCGTGCCTATGGAAGATAAAATCGAAAGATTATTCCTATAGAAACAGAAAAAATGATGCGTACAAGAAAATGGTTTTCTATTTAAAAGCCAGTTTTTACCCCACTGCGATCTATATCGTTTATTTTTCTGTTTTTTCTTTAACAATAAGTAATACAAAATACAATAATTCGTCACTTGACATTTCCACAAACGGAACCACAAATTCAGAATAAAAATAGTGATGAATGTACGCTCTTACTTGCATCGTGTGGACACCGCACAGTGTTCCTTCTAGTTTGCGCAAACTATACCGTGCAGGCAAGTCGCTACCGTGTAGCCGCCGCTTAATACGTGCAAAACATAGCGGCAACGAAGGACAAAATGAAAATTTGACCGGCACTAGAGAAAATGGGTAAAAAAAAACGTTTTGAAGCGAAAATTGGACAAATTGATGGTTTTTGGGAATAGTTTAGAATATCTTAGGATGAAAAAAGTTATTTACAAAAAGTTTGTAGTTTTTGAAAGGATAGAATTGAGTAATGTAACCTAGCAATCAGTCATCATCAGGACCAAAATAGGTCTCAAACGGTCCCACTGGAAGTGGCCCATAGCAAAGCCGATAGTCGCCTCAAAAATCTAATCTAATGAACATTAGAACAACATTATAGTCAAGTAGGGTCAAAAAATATTCGGCGCGATTAGTAAACCAATAAAATTTGACCAGGGCAACCTGACCCGACTCGAGACCCGATCTCCGCCGACGAGACGGGCCAGCACGTCGGAACACTTTGTAGGTCAGGATGCTGATCGCCGCACGTCATCCGGCGTTATCTCGCGCACAAACCGGCAACGCGGCGCCGTTTCCACTTCGAGCCAACGTACTAAACGAAATTCAGTGAAACAACGTTCAGTTGTTTTCCGTTCGCGTTCTTTCGAACTTGGGTCGTCGGTCATACCCGTTTATTGCCGATTTTTTCACGACTTTTTCTATATTTTTTTTTTATTTTTATTTTCTTTTCAATTTTTTTTTATATTTTTCTTTCCACGTCGAAAATACCAAAAAAATCTCTTCTGTACGGTTTAATAAACTAATCAGTAAAGTTTGTTTTACTACTTAAATACCGATATAAAGTACGTCTGGTGAACAAACAGTGTTATATTTATGTGTATAATATTCTCGCACGTGCTAGTTTTATATCGTACAAGTCTAACCAAGTTGGATTAGTTCAGAGTGTGGTAATAGTGGAGTTGCATTTCTATGGTAAGAAGACTATGGATAAAAGTTTTTTTTAGTCGCGCGTTCGAGACGACCGCTACTGTTTTTTTCCGCGCCACACTGTATATGCCCTAGAAATCACGGACCGGATACAAGGGAACTCCTGTTTGAAGTTGCGGCCGGAAAGCTTGTGACTTGTGAATACCCGCTAATGATATACCGGGTGGTCTGAAGACATCAAATAATTGAAAAAATATTAACAGAGAAAAATATATTTATGGAATGTAAAATAACGTTCAATGACCATTTATTATTAAACAAAAATGGGTAAAATGTATTAATTCTAAATAAATTCACAGTTATTATTTGCACCAACAAAACTCACCTTTTTAGCAGCACTTAAGAGACATAAAGAACCATTACTACCGCTTTCCCGTTCAAAATATTCTAATAAAGTTGCGATGTGTTTTTACGGCTATTAAGCTATTTTGTACAGGGTGGGTCAAATTCGACGCTTTTAAATGGAAACACCATTTTCTATAGGAGATAGACGAAAACTAATATCGGTGTCTGGAGCTCAATTTTCATCAAAAACATGATGGTAAAAACCGCAAATCAATATTTGTTACCGTTTCTGAGTTACAGGGTGTTTTTCAAAAATATGCATTTTTAACAAATCGCTGTAATTTTTTTGCTGTGGAAAATTTTGTATTTCTATGAAAACATTTCCAAAGCACCTTTTTACGTAGAATTTAATGGTTTAAGTATAATTTTTTTAAAATTAATAATTTAAGTGTTATCAACAGAAATAATGATTTTTTATTTGGGACACCCTCTATATTTTTAATTAACTGAAAAAAAAATTAAATTATCTTTTCAAAAATATAGCACACTTGATATTTTGTTATAATCCCCTTCGAAATACAGAATTTTTAAAAGTTCGCCACTTTTAACTAGTAGGCTTTGGACACCTTATTGATGATATGCCCTTAATGAAACTCGAAAACAAATTTTTCCAGCAAAACGACGCACCGCCTCTGAACGCTGAAGTTATCAGCAAATTTTTGCAGCCAATTTCAAAAATAATTAGATAGCTAACCAAGATCCCAGCCGTTGGCCGTCGAGGCCACCTGACTTAGTGCCCATGGATCTAATCCTATGGATATATTTGCGGAAGAATGAGGTTCCTTATTCTTCCGTATAATCTAGACAAGAATTAAAAATACTTGGCAGTTATGAGAGGGTATCTTTTACACCCACTGAATTAACGAATTCCACGAGAAATTTTCAAAAACTGCCCCGTCTGTCCATAACAGAAGAAGATCGATATGTCGAACACTTGTAGCAAAATCTCATGTCTTGGTTTGCTATTTATTTTTATTGTTATTAGATATAGTTTAAATGTGTTGATGTTGGTTAAATATATTTTAAATTGTTATAAAATTCTGCATCTCTCATAGCAAATATTATTTTCGTTTTAATTGATGCTCACAGCTAGAATTTTTTTGCATTACAGCCGGTGCCGCTCAAAGCCTACTTATTTAAAGCGGGCGAATTTTTATATACTCTATATCTCGAAGAGGAATGAGAGCAAAATATCAAGTGTGTTATATTTTTGAAAGGTAATTTTAAATTATTTTCAATAAATTAAAAATATACAGGGTGTCCCATATAAAAATCAAATTTTCTGTTGATAATTCTAATAATATATTAACATAATGAAGCATACTTCGTTTTAGTACTATTTAAATATTAATAAAATCCTCCTGCAAGAAATTGTATGATTATTTCATATTAAGTTAAGTCGCCCGACGCCACTGGCCCTTCGGCTATGTTCGGCAAATCGGCCGCTATCTTTTGGCTGCTAAGTTCACATCAGTATTTTTTCCAACGTTGGAACCAACATTTGGTACAGTTTTCGGAAATATTGCAATTGGCAAGTGTTTCTCCTACTCTTTGTTCCAACACTGAACACAAACTTGGCACTTTGGCATAATAAAATATCAGCCACGTGAAGACACCCTTGTAGGAGTGCATCGAGCAATGCTTCCAACGTTGGAAGGCTTTGGAAGCTCCTTCGACGCGGGCGAAATTTACCGACGAGAGCCAGAGTTGGAAGCATTCTTCCAACGTTGGATGCATGGACATGGATTTCATCTCTGCACGCCATGTCCATGTTTTCAACGTTGGAAGGTGTTTGCAATATCGTGTGGGACCGACTTTACGAAAGTGGGAATTCACGAAAACCATTTTTCAATTAGATCGCGAAATTTTATGTCCAAGGGGTCTTTGATTTCGACAGTTAAAAATTCTATTGTAATTTGCTGGACAATCTGTCATTTGTTTTACTTTTATCATACAAAGCATGCTTCCTTATAATAGTTATTTTTTATACAAGACGTTTTTATACAAAGTTGACCGAGAAGATTAATTCACAAGCGATGAAATCGCGAGTGAATTAATTTCGGGAGAAGATAATGCAATTTTATCGTCGTGTAGAAAACACTATTTTTTTCATAGCGAGTTACGTTTGAGAATTGAGAAATTATTATTTCAAGGAATTTATTACGTAGAAAAGAGTAGAAAAAAGATTGTGCTGAGTTGGCGTTGGTTTCTATGTAATTTGACAAATAAATAAAGCTGTCTCTTTAGTTGTCACTTTGAGTCAATATTTTTTAATTCTCTTTCGTGTCGATTGCTGATTGAATTGGATCCAAAAATGGCTCAAAACGAAATAAGTAAGTTACCAACAGATATTCAGGCTGAGGCGACAAACGCCATATCCAAACTACTTCCATTTAAATCCCGAATAACTTATGAAAAGGAATACAAAAGTTTTCAAAAATGGAAGCAATTAAATATAAAATACCGTATTTTTAATGCATATATATTAATTACGAAAAATTAATATTGTTTTTCCTGGATTTAAGATATTTATCGTTTTTGTGAAGCTATTTTGCAAGAAATTAATTATTTTGATTGGAATTAATTTGTTTTGACACAATTAAACATTACAATACAGCTATTCGAGCGTATTTTTTTATTATGAAACGAATCACAAACTGAAAGAATTGGTTCGTTATCCAGTTTAGTATAAACAAATCCTTTAATATGTCAAACAATGATAACGGGGCACTCATTTGTAATTAAAATGAGATATGAATGTGTTTTATTTTGTTTAGTTTGTACCCGCGAGGTTTGTACTAGAATCACAATGGTGATATGTGGTGAAATAAATACAACCTTTAAAATGTATTATTTTTTTTTTCTATGAAATGGTGAAGTACCACTTGAGGAATTGAATATAATGTCTCTATCAAAACTCGCACACTTGAGGTCAGATAGCTATCTATATCTATAATATCTATAAACTTATGAACACCGCCAAAATATTGTTGTTTTATTATTTTGAACTGGGGAGACTCCATAGTTTCTTTAGTCTATTTGCAGATGCCTGTTTCACCTCACAGCTCTTTTTTGTAGTTTTGTAGGATCATAGATATGTGGATGTAGATTGTATGGGGCGGGGAAAATCGACTCATCATAATCATACACTCTCAGGGATTTGACAAAAGCCAGTTTCTGGGATGGTTGCACGAATGTTTGTCATGTTTTTCATGGTGTTTCCCCATTTTCCTCACAGCATCTGCATTCGCCGTTGTTTCTTAGCTTCAATCTCCCCTACTATCAATCTTCAGTGAAGACAAACTTGTCACCTAATGTCCCCGTAATTTTTACATTTAGACCATTGTGCGATCGGTATGATTTTTTTTAAATGGAACACTGTATATTATTGCATTTTTGGCTTCCTTTTTGTTCACTTTACGTATAATCCTAAGATATTATTAAATATGTTTTGATAGTTTCAAAGATATTAATAAATAAATAAAAAAAAATCAGCCTTTTCCAAAAAAATTATTAAAAATGTTAGAAATATCCTGAAATCAAAACTATATTAAGTATTTACTGTAGTGGGTTTGTACTTACCTTGATGCAAATATCGTAATCTTAAATCATTCAGGGTGTTCACAATTCTATGCCAAACTTTTTAAAATATAAAATAGTCTTTCTACATTTTTTTTAATGAAACCCCTGTATATTATTTCTTTATTAGATGGAGAATTGAAAAATAAACATTTTTTTGTATTTAAAGTATTTCAAAATTTTTATCGGTTTCGCAAATATTCGCAGCTTTATTACATATGGTTCTTTCAACCAGACAAAAATCATCAAATTACTGTTGAAACCTCCATATGTAATATAATACCACGAATATCCGCAAAACCGTTAATTAAATACAAAAAGTTTTTATTTTTTAATTCTCCATTTAACAAAGAAATAATATAAAGGGTGTTCCATTTAAAAAAGAAACGAAAACAATCTATTTTATATTTTAGAAAGTTTGGCAAAGAATTTTGAACACCCTGTAGGGTTTAAGATTGCCATATTTGTAGCAAAGTAAGTACAGACCCACTACAGTAAATACCTAATACAGTTTTGAGTTCAGGACATTTCTTGTGTTTTAATAATAATTAAAAAAAAAAAGCTGAAAAAATAAAAAAATATATTTTTATTTATTTATAAATATCTTTGAAACCATCAAAACATATTTAGTAATATCTTAGGATTATATAAAGCGATCAAAAAGGAAGCCAAAAATGCAATAATATACAGTGTGTTTTATTAAAAAAATCATCCTGATCCACTCACACTTTTTTGAGCCACCCTGTAGGAGTTAAAATATTTTCCTGAAATACATCCTAATACCAGGTCCAGACCAAGCAGACAAAACAACGACATGACAGAAACATTCATGTCTGACATTGTCTTGCTGGAAAAGTGGATTTTGCAGTTGCTAGTAGTAGGGCAACGTGACAGGTTATAACACGTTATTAATGTAGGATTGAGCATTTATGCTTCTGTCCAAAAAATCTAGAAGTAACCTGCTTCCAACTGTCATAGAATTCTACCCCTACTTCTACATGCGGGGCTCTGTAGAAGTGGACTGACTATCCCTAGCGACTCGTGGGAACACTATGAGATCT